TTATCTTATTCGAATGATAAATTTGAATTTTTAATTTATTATTAGTAATACAACGCAGCTTTGAAGAATTAATAGAAGCAACCGCATTATATTTCGAAAGCTTTTAGTCCTGACATTCTACCGAGAATCAAATGTTCGATCAAAGTAGCAATTTCGGTCACGACTCATTGTCAGAATTGTCATCTGCCTTAATCAGGACAGCCATTAAGTAGAAATACGAGTGATGGAATATTGCATTGTTCGTAATTTCAAGCTATATGTATAATAATCAGCAAGCCTCAAATTTGCATTTGTTAATGATTTCGAATTTTACCACTACTGTTTATTTTATTCGATTGTTTAAAATTCCCACATTACTTATATTAATTACAACAATTAGTAAAGGAAATCAATTTCTTTTTGCACTTAAAAATAAGGAAGAAAGTAGTTTTCAAGTACTTTAAGTTCGGTTCAAAAGTCTCCTTTAAAAACATTGCAACGTAAACTAATACAAATAACCGATTTGCATCGGTTATAACTATTTATTTGTAAGAAACTAATTTACGAGAATATAGTTTGAGAATTTTACTTTAAAAACTGTGCCTTGATATAGAAGAATTTGATCAATATGTCTATGAATATATTATGTTTTCTCAAATACTTTCACACTCGTTTGTTTTGTAAACGTAAACATTGAACTCGAGTCAAATATTGATCCACAGTTAAACCAATCAGACAAAAGGTTTCAACTAAGTTAGTCTCAAATACTCGGTCGGTTAAGTCAGGTGTAAACGCCGAAGGTTTTTTTTTCTATCAATACTGGCTCCCAAAACCCGACACTTGAAGAGACAAAAACATACAGTGAACGACGAAGTTTCCACTATTGATTAAGGGCTAAAACCATCCAAGTTCATCCACTAAATTAACAGGATAATAATTTATATGATAATTATGACTAAAAGGAGCTATTCTAAATGAGAGATTTCAGTCTTGAATTTGCCAACGGTCGAACCCCTAATTAACAGTCTTGTATCTCTTACGTTATATTATCTGCATCTACCTTTTGTCTGAAGAAATCTGCTAATCTGAAATTTATCACCAGTGTGTAATTTGTCTGTCTATCTTTTGGTAACTGTTTGTTTTTGGTACCTACACTTTATCAGTGACGCAACTTGCTTCTGTATTGAGTGGTCTTTTCAATTTCCGCTACACTAGACCTAAATTTACGATACCTAATTCTTTTTTGACCTAAGGCCTTACATCCCCTTCGTAGCATCAGTAGTGAGGAGACTTGCCAAATCACCGCTGTTTCTCTATTTCATGTAGTGGTTTCGCTGAAAAGTAGATATTGCTCTAACATCGGGAATATATTTCTTCATGAACCTCGGAATCCTTACCAAGTTCCTCGATTATTTAATTTTCCTTAATCTCTTTAACTAATGAATTATTATTACAAATTGCGTTCTGCAATAAAAAGTATTTACTTAACTTTTCAAAGGCTTCAAAAAAGGCAAAGAATTCTGCTAAAAATATATTTAGATCGTTGGATATATCTTTTTAAGTACGCGACGCTATAGTAACTAAAAATTATGTTTCGTTTCCTAAATCACACAAAGTGCAAGGCACAAAGAAAAGGTTGTATGTCATAACTTTGCGCGCCTTAGACAAATACGCTAGGGGCGTAATAGGAGAGGAAATGCAAGAAGGATCAAAGAAGATAGCCAAAGCTCGAGTAAACAACACTGACAACCTTATCATTTGAGGTAATGCGAGGACCTGTTTCCCGGTGAAACAGTAGATGTTTATTGGGTGACAATTTTTAGTAGGTGAGAATCTCTACACTCTCGGTAAAAATGTGGTTACCATAATTATATCTTATCTAAAGACCTTCATCTATTCTTCACAAAAAAAGTTTTAATTCTTTCCTCTATAATTAACGGTAATTACAAGCGTAGCAAAAAAAGAAAACTTTCCCAAGTCACAAAAATCGAAAATTTACTATTTATTTTTCTAATGTTATGAATTTTAACTAGGCCAATTAATTTACTACAACCAAAACAAACTTTCATTAATGAATAAAGTCAATGTGGATTTTAAGCTGTTAAACGCTTTGTGTATAAATTACACGTATTTACAAAGATTTGTTTGGATTTAGGAGATACAGGTGGTCTTCTAAAGAGCCGAAACCTCGCATGTCGTTAGCACAAAGACTCAGTAATTAACCGCGGATTAGTTAGCCATTCTCCTTCCATTAATTGATGAACTCTTTAAAAGCTCTGAATTTTTCTTATCAACATCAGATAATATCTACTTTACAACGATCGATAATACAATTATTAAAATTTTCCTCAAAAAAAAAAGAAATCATTAATGTCAAATAAAAACCAAGAATCTTAATAAATATTTTGTGATAGAGGTGAAAGATAGTGGAAAGAAAGTGACAGCATTAAAAAGAAATTGAAAAGCTAACCCTAAACGCCATTTTGAGGTGGCTTATCTTGACTAGACACACTGTATGTGAGAAAATAATAGGAAGACCCAGTCACTTGGAAGAGATGAGGAACCCACGGTCAATAGCTACTTTCTTTGTGATAATCCAACCTATTGAAACTCCTTGCTTTCATCCGCGTTTTATAATTCCTCAAGAATTATAATAGTATTTCATTCAGAATATATATATATATATATATAAAAGTATATAATCTTACATGAATCTACCATCTTTAAAAATAATGAGGAACTTTTAAAAAGCTTGTTAATGGACGATTTATTCAAGTCTTTTTAGTCAAATTTCTAAGAGGGGAAGTAAAAAATCTTATTCTTTTTAGTAAATCTAAACTTCAGTAGCCAAAAGAACCCCACTAAGTCTTGTACAGTAAAATTTGTATTTACAACTTTATGTATGATTTCCAGCCTCATTCTTTCATATCTATTGCATTTCTTTAATACGTGCTCTGGTGAGTTAGGCTCATCACAACTAGTTATGTTTGTCTTCAATTATAATTTTTGAATCTGCATTTGAAAGTCTTGAAGTTACCATGCCCAGTAATGAATTGCGTTGTCAAGACGACTAGGTTGCATCCAACTGCTCCTCATCCTGTTCTCAATATTAGAAAAAAAAAAATATATTTCCCTGCCTTTTTCAGAAGTGTTCCAACACTCCTGCCACAAACTTTTACTTACAGTACGAAATTTATAGAATAAACTAAAAATTTATAAAATTAGGTCAAAAAATTTTTCGCCATCTTCGCCAAAAAGTTAATTTCATATCGCACTTTTGGATGTGTCAATAACTTTCTTAACAAAGAGAAAATCATGACGAGAAGAACTTGATGGAATTTTTATACTAAAGGACGCGAAACTTCAGCTGTATGAAGAAAACTATTGTTCGACGATTCTCACTCTCAAGGATCATTTTACGTGAGATCGCGTTTGGTCACGATTTCAAGCGATTTGTCGTCGTAGCTTACTTTGCGAGTCTGAAGGAGCTATCCCTCTTCGCTTTTATGGAGGTTCACCGATTACAGTATCAATGGAAAATCCATTTTCACTCCTCGTAGTTGATACATATAAGTATGATAGATTTCTAACCCGCACCTACGTGTACCGTCTCTATAGACGTTTTCTCAGAATATCAAGAATCATACATATATGTGGGGAAAAAAAAGATTACTTTCAATCCACCTTCTTTGAGGTATTGAAAAGTTTTATACTTTACATTATATGTTTAATGTCGTATTTTTTCACGTAGAGGAAAGATACCCTAAAAACTGGAACATTCAGAAAGATGATTTTTTTTACTGTTGCAAATTATTTGGGTTGTAAAAAATAAAATAAAGAAAAAACGGTGTAATTACCAATGGACGGAAATTAATAATTTTTTTTTGCAGCATCTTTCTTTTTAACGAATGTAGTAGATTGCAATATAAATCGAGAATTATCTTTAAATAATAAATGTGTGGTAAAGGAGAAAAAAAATCTTGCCGCCTTCTTTTTTTCTATTTTCTGAACACTGAACTATACTATGCTTTTATACGTTCAGTTTTGAGAGTAATTTTCTGACTTGCTGAGAAATTTACGAGATCCCAGAACGCATATAATGCATCTTTTACACCCTCCAGAAGGGTCCTTTTCTGTTCGATCGAAAAGCGTAATTGCACCCTCGTAGTATATTCACGGAATGACTTGCTCTCTTTGGAGAAATAAGGCAGTAACGATTTCTTTATTCTAAGGGATGAAACCTTAACTTGAAACGCACAAAATTGGAAGTTTTCGGAATCTTAATTTTTACGTTAAAGGCTTCAATAAAAGAAAATAGTATAATTAAAACAATTGTGTTAAAATACTACATAATTAACGTTAAATAACAATAATTTCTAACTATTTAACAACAAAATTTTCGTAACACAAAATCAGTATTCAATTGATACTTTTCTTTTTACAGTAAACGAAATTGATAGCGTCAATGTAATTCAAAATCATTATGACATTTCCATTGACTGATAATAATTGAACTCTAATTCGGCATATCGCGATTAATTTTCGATTCCCTTGAATCAGGGTCATTGGGCTATATAGATTTAAGTACTGATATTGCGGTAACGAAAAAAAAGCCTTTGACGGAGCCTTTGATTGATTCTACACACAGCGCATATATGTGTGAATTAACCCTATTAAATGTCATGGAACCTTGTCATCAATATGTATCTTTAAACCAAAAACATTCATCGAAACTAAAATTAAAGCATCCATCAATCAAAATATTTTTTCGACGAATTGATTGCTCTTCCAATATTTCAATTGAAAGTTCAATTATAGTGTTGTCACTGATTTTATACAAGAGATGTTAAAAAAAAAGTTAAATGACATTTTCTAATTTAATTAATTATTATGCATAAAAGGTAAAAATTATTACTTGGATATTTTTTCAACAAAATTAAAACTAATTTTAACAAGAAAATTTTGAATATATAAAACAGATAATTTTAAAATATTATTTTAAATTAATATCAAAAACTTACCAATATTTGTATGTTGAAGTTTCCTACATATCCGTGCCTCTCGTTCGAGTTTTTGAAAATCTGTAATAAAAGAAAAACATAACAGATAAGAAATATATCTTTAGCAAAAATACTCCTCCTACCTTAACCTATTTTTATAATATCGATGCGAGCATCTGGACAAATAAGAATTCTAATATAGGAATATGGATAATAAATGTTTTTATTATCATCAGAAAGCTTTTTTTCTTCAACATTTCATCTATTTCAATGGTATTGAAACTGATTTCGATTGAATGACAGACAACTTTTCCAGTCAACCTCCTAGGGAATCTTTTAAAAATGTATACGACTCAATAAAGAATTTTATAGGGTCTCAATCTCTTCTTCTTCTTCTTCTTGTTGAATGGAATAAACTCAAGAAAGAATAAAATTGTCCTATCCAAAAGTTCTATGTGTTTGTAATTTTGCATATACATACGAGAACAGAATTTTCTTTCTTTTTTTTTTTTGATGTCAATATTTCGAAGTAGGTGATATTTCGATTTTCATAACTATTTTTTGCTTTAACAAATTGAGTAATAAATATATGAAAAAAAAATTAATTGGGCGCTGCAGATAAAGCATTTCTGGAGATTGGAGCTAGAAACTTTCTTAATTTTCTAAACAAAAAAAAAAATAAAAAGAACTGGTTAAATATTTATAAAATTAAATGTAGAGATAATTCCACAACTAAGATTGATTAACAAATTTCAATCAAAAAATTAAAATGTAAGGGTGATCCTTTAAAATTTATTTAAATTTTAAAAAATGGATAAAAAGTAAAAGGTAATTCAAATAATATTTTGTCCAAAATATATAATTAATATAATGACAATTCGAAAAATAAATTTTTTCCTAATTATTTAGAAATAATAGTTTGCATGTTTATAGCAAATTAAATAAAAATTGTATAATTATTTTTATCGAGGAAAAACAATTATTTTAAGTATTCAAAGAGAGTATTGCTGACAGATATATAGAGGAGGTATTCTCAACGGAAACGGCAATTGGATTCGATCGCAATATTGGATAGAGATCAGTCTGGATATATCTCTATTCCAGGGCTTTTCTCAAATAAAGACGAATGTTATATATATATATATATACATATACAGATATGTAGAAGGACTTGTGCTCTACTTGCACTTAGTTACATATGAAACAGCTTTAAGTGCATGCATCAACGACTATAGTTCACAGTTGTGTACAAGAGTAGTTGCAATGAACGAGGTACATTGTATTTCCTGCGCCACAGTTAAGGCCTATGTATTCTAAATTATTTAACATATATATATACATACGTGTGTACCTAAATACATTAAATTCTAACGCTCCGCGACCTAGAAAATATACACAAAATGCATGTTTTCCCTTATCCAATTTTCCTTCCTAGTTAAAAAAAAAAAGAAAGTTTCTTCGCCATAAAACACTTCTTGAACCTTAGTTTTTGACACATCTTGATAATACACATAATGTCAGAAAATAACCATAAATCAAAACCGAATAATAAGTTGTTAAAAATATCCATTATGCAAAATTCATTTATCATTTTAAAAAAAAATTAAATCTATCTAAAAATATCTAACTAAAATACCAAAAATTTTGTATCTAAAATATTTTTTTTAGTAAGCAATTCTACCCTACTATGAATGACTTTTGTATTCCGAAGTAAAAAGAAATCTACAGTAAAAAAAATTATTCACTTCGTTTTAAACTAATCGTCATTCTACTTTAGAAAAGAATTTACAAATGTGTAAATTTGTAAAAGTTTTATTTTTTCTTTTTGAAATAAACTTTTGGATAAAGTTAAACGTTTCTTGAAAAATGAAAGTTGCAAGAAGTCGATATGGATATTTCTCAAGAGAGAACTTAAACTGTTTTCAAGTGGACAACATTACGCAAATGATCCTGCATTATTTTCATTCTTACTACGAGTTTCCGTCTACGAGACATTCTTAACTAAAGTTTTGGTAAACAACCATTGAGCGAAGCAAATCAAAGAACTAAAAATCTCTCACAAAAGACCTAGTCAATTTAATTAAAGTCCAATAGAGTTGGATAATGTTCTATTTAAAAAAAAGAGGAAATCCATATTTATAAAAGATTAAAATTTTTTCAGGAGAATTAATTTGCGACTCATGAATAAGTTTTAAAAGTCATTAGTTACAATTTTCACTTTAAAGAATATCATTTGTTACACTGAAAAAAAATTCTAGTTAGAATAACCAGAATTCTGGTTAGGGTATATTTAACATTTTGATTCTGGTTAGGTTAACCAGAATTCTGGTTATTTTAACGAGAATTCTAGTTAATTCAACTAGAATTCTGGTTAACATAACTAGAAAGTAATGTTAAATATAGCCTAACCAGAATTTTTTTTTCAGTGCATATTTACTTTTGAACCGAATTTTTATTTGTTCGAATTAGTATTGATTTGATGAAAATTCTGCAAAATACTAATTCGAACAAGTAAAAATTCAGCTCAAAAATAATTATGACAAATGAAATTCTATAAAGTGAAAATTGTAATTAATGATTTTTAGAACATATTCATGAGTTCCATTAATTTGTGAAAATGATCAGCTATGATTTTAAGCACATCAGTTTTTAGATTTACGAATACTCTACTAAAAACCTAATCAAACAATTTTTGGATCCATTTTAGTCGAACCTATCGATGCTTGAGGAGCACTCTTTGTCCTAATGACAATGTTACATTTACACTGTAAAAAATTAGCATAGTTAAAGGTAAACGGAGCTTGGAGTAAAATTTTTAGAATTAAAAATCAACTCCAAAAGTTAATTTACTTGATTAGCTTCCTAGAAATAAAATTAACACTCTTAGCATCAATTCCAAAAAGGGTGTAATTTTTATAGTGTTCCGTTGGGAGTTAAAATCTAACTCCATTTTTACAGTGTGACAAAAAGGATTAAATGCGTCTGATGGTCGCGCTGGAACTGTTTCCAGACACCTATAGTTAATTATTAAACAACGAGAAGCGGATGCTTTTTAGTACTTTCGACGTGCTAATACAACTTTTCAAGTTGTAAAACCGCGTTTTAATTGAAAAACAAAAATTTGTCATATCGGTATTTTGTGAGCACTAAAAGAATACTAAATTATGGTACGACGAAATAAATTTTTAATAGCTTTTTTAACCTGTGGTTGCGCCAATTTAACATCAAGGGCGCTTGATGACGTCTTTTCTTATATTATAAAATAAGAATCATCAAATTTGGTTTTTTTTTAGCGATTTAGTTAGGCTTCTAGTTACGAGAAAAACCCACTAAAAATCAGTTACATTAATTAGAATTCGTAGTTATCTGAACAAATTTTTTGCCATAATAACTAGGAATCCTAGTTAATGTAACTCTGATTTTTAATGGGTTCCTCTCGTGACTAGGAGCCTAACTAAATCACCCAGGCATTTCTTTCAGCGATTTAAAGAAGCACTTAATTCTGATATGTGTGAAAAAAATACCAATGTTGCGCCCATTTAATATAACTAAAACTTTTTAAAAATCTAATTTGAATAAAAATATTAAATATATTTATATTTTTTAAATTCTTTTATAAAAAATAATATAGCGGAACTACACATACGCTGATAGAAATCTTGTTTTAGTTAAAAACCTTTGCTTAAAAATTATGATTTTAGAAAAGATTATTAAATGCGACATTTAAATGTACAAATTACACAGTATTTAAAATCTCCCCTAATCTCGCATGTTGGAAAGTCGTCATAAGAAGCGGAACTTAAAACAGTCATTATTCCCTCATATCACATATATATATAAACTACCAGTAATATCCGTGAAACGAAATTACATTACTTTTTATTTGACAGCGTGACTAAAGGGGAATGGACAATTTTTAAATTCTTACTTCTAGACACGTTTATATTTTGAGTTATTAAAGATGAATATTCTTTAAAAAAAAAAAAAAAAAAAAAAGAGCGAGAAAGAGAGGGAATCAGATAAAGAGCTGACACATATTTCTTATAATGTGTCGGGTCACGGAGGTAAAATACTGTTGTACACATTTATTAAAATGCGATTGTACATATATATATATATATAGGTATAATTTTTTTATTGTACATAAAAATCGATTGCGGTTCATGACCCTGCGAAAAATATTCAAATGAAATTCAAACCGCATTTCGTTCTGTCTCTAAAACAAACCACCATTTTTTTCGTGATATAAAAAATATATATGTATATATTTTTTCTTTTTTTTTTTTACTTGATTTGCATGCTTTTTTGCAATAAATAGAATTTGTGGTCTTAAAACCATTTTGTGGTGAAAATTCAATATTACATTGTCGATAAGTTTGAATTGAAAGACTATTATTTTATTATTATTCAGATTTTTAAATTAACATACGTCTTGGAAAAATATTTAGTGTAGAGTATATGTTATAGTATATAAAATTGTAATTAACATTAAAATTTCAAAATACTTAAATCTTTAAACTTTTTCAATAAGTGGTGTATTTGCTTAATTTGATGCGCTGATTAGAAAAAAATTGCAGGAAAAATTAACGATTAACTATTTTTCACAGTAAAAACGATAAAACAAAACCCATAAAAATCAAGCCAATACTTATGTCTTACTATATTACAACAAGTAGACCGCTCAACGTATTACCTTATGTTACTCTCGTAATTTGATGTGCTGATTGCAAAAATTACAGGTAAAGTTATCGACTATTTCCTTTTTTTTATGATAAAATTCATTTTAAAAAAACCGTAAAAATTGGTCTTTTTTCATAATTATTGAGAGAAATGTAAAAAAAAAAAAAAATGAATTTATGCGGCTTTTACAATGAAAATGAGCTAATCGCAAATTTTCATTCTGATTGTCGTGATACTTGATAATTCGTTTATAAATAAAAATATTAAAAACAAAATTTTGCAAAAATTAAAATATTCTAACATTTTTTTTTTTTTTTTGAAACCTAACAAAAGCAATTACCACTAGAATAATCAATCTTATTTAATTAAATTACTTTGTCAATTATTCTCGGAAATTTGAA